TTCTAGATGACTGTTTTTATGGTCAGACGGGTGACAATTTTGCTAAAAAGAATGCAGATCTTGGAAAACGTTCAAGACGATCTCAGGATTCTTTCACACTCTTAAAAATTAATGAGCTCAATGACTTGAGTATGTTGTCTACAACTATCAAAAAAAAGTCTAAGCATTATTAAGAAAAGGTTTTTCTACAAGTTTTACAAGTCAGAAGCATCCAATTAAGGGATTTATTTTTCCATCCCAAAGATAGTTTTCAAAACAGTCAGAATTACCATTAACAGTATTCCATTTAAATTCTTGAATTATATGTAACAAATTTTTACTTCCTCTGTCTGTAATTAGTCTTACTAAGACATTCATTACCATTAAAATCAAGTTCTTTTTTAAAACGTCAATAAGACATATGCAATACTTGACTTACAAAGATTTATAGAACCTCAGAGCTGGGAGTGTGGTTTGGTGGCATAGCACTTGTCTAGCATGTACAAGGCACTGGGTTCAATCCCTAGCACCACAAAAACAAACAGCAAAATTACAAAGAGACTTATGTAATCTGTTATGATCAAATGCAGGAAGAATGCAACCCTTTTATCCACACACCCCCAAACTAAATGGAGAAGTTCAATTACTTCAGACTAGGACAATGAATTTTCTTTTATATCTTGAGTTGGTGAATGACTGAGCACATTTCACAATCCTAAGAAAACATTTCACTTGATTACCGTGAAGTAGAAGAGTAATTTTATTGATACTCAGACCAGGATTACACATTAAACATTTTGGCGAAAAACCTACACATCTTAGGAATCATAAATGCTATCTGAGGACATGCTTACACTGCTTTCTTAACTATCAATAAGCATCAATATCCAAGGCACATGAATGAAAAATCTGGACTTTTCTCTATATGAATAAACAACTCTGGACCGTGTGTGTGTGTGTGTGTGTGTGTGTGAGAGAGAGAGAGAGAGAGAGAGAGAGAGAGAGAGAAAACAAAGGGAAAATATCTGGAGGACCTTACACTGGACTGTCTTACTTCTCATTTTGTTATAAAATAAGGTATTCTTTAAACAAATGCATTTGCATAAAAGAAAAAATGCAACAGTATTCTAAGTGTACATATGTCCTTGAGGACAAACAAATGCAGAGTTACAATATAACCTGGGCTTTAGGGTTCCTCCCTATGTGAGCAAATGTCTATTTTGAATGTAATGCAAATCTAACCAATCAAAGGCAAAATAGCCATTTGCAAAACTTAAGGAAGGATCATCTTCCTTTAATTCCAACTGCTCTCATCACCATTCACACCATGCTAAATTAAAGCACAGCATTTCTCAAAATCAGTGTGTGAGCCTCAATACAAAAATTGCAATCAGTTTTCCTTGCTGATTTCTGGGCCAAAACGCCCCACTTTTAACATTAACTGTCACTTCTACTTGACAGCCCTTTTCAAAGAGTTTCAACCAAACCTTATTGTGCTCCACATCAAATCTGAAAAACAATTCAGTTTTGCATTATAGTATTTGATTAACTTCAATCCTGTGATTTTATAATCTTTTTATCTACTATTTATGATTTTCTTGGCTATCGCTCACAAGGGGTAGTAAAGGTAAACCAAATCCATAAAAATTTTCCTATTCTGAATATAGAAACAATGCCAGGCACAGCAGCTGGAGCCATACATCCCATACTTGCTATTATTCCCTGTGGAAAGAATGATTAAATCTGCAAACTGTAAAAACAACAACAACAAAAAAAGAGCATTATGAAGAAAATTGTTTCTGAGACACCTTCCATTCATATTTTTGAGCAGCGCTCTTAATCTGAAGGATAATCATCACACTCAGCCACCTAAACTGAGACATCAAAAGCCTTTACTCATCAGACAAATCACATGTTGGCTTATCAATCTTCTGGCCAGGGATGTCTGATGCAGCCTAACATCTCTATTTTTAAAAAAATTTAATAGTTCACATAAAGCTTTTTACTCATCATTCCTCCTACACGGAGTTTGCAGAAGTAGTCCAGTCACCCATAGACTCCAGGGGATCAGGTTATTGAATATTTGGGGATAAAGAAATTCTGTGGAATGGCATTCAACCACTCTGACACATTCACCTTCAGCTAAAGACATCACAATACTCTGACAGACACATTTCTAATGACATCAGGACCTGTGGAATGTATGACCACTAGGAAACACATGCTGCTAAGAAACAAAGAACAGATCTGATCAAATCTCTTAATGTAAGGACCAGGAATCACTGCGATTAGGTCTACTAAAATGGGAGCAAAGTAGTCTAATCCTCAGAAATGTTTGCAAGAGTAAAGATTCACATATACCCTCTAGAAAGGAACCAAATACCTGAACCTAGGTGAGTTAAATCTTAACTCCCTAAGTTTCCTCTTAGGATGATAGCCACTAGCAATATCTCTTATAAAAATATAACTTAATCAAAATCAGACATCAATGATTGAGATTTTTCCTTTTGCACCTTAAGAAGTTAGGATCTTTGGAGAAAAGAGGGGAGAGGAAGGGAGGGGAGAGGAGAGGAGAGAGAAGGAGGGGGAAGACAGAAGGATTAGTGAGAAGAGGGGAGGGGGGCAAGAAAGGGAGGGGGAGAAGGGAGAGGAGAGGAGAGAGAAGGAGAGAGAGAGAGAGAGAATTAGTGTGCCTAAACAAAGTACCCATGTACAAAGCTATGTCTTTTTTTTAACACAATTGAGCATAGTCATTAAAGCAAATACCAAAGCAGAGTAACCTACAATTAAAGAATTTCATCTTTTAATTATTGAAGAGTAAAAGTGCCTATCTATGTAAAAGTAACAGTTTGTAAACTTTAGCATTTTACATTCTTTACCCTTTATTTAGTTACTTAAAAAAAAAAGGTTGGATGCAACAAGGCTGAGAGGTATTTCAACACAAAACCCTTTTAACTCCCACAAAAAATTATCTGGTATCCTTTTTGATGGTACTATAAAAAAAAAACTGGCAATTCTATTTGTAATCCACATACAGATAAATTGGGCGCCAGAACTCCAGATCGTTTGGCACCATTACAGATTGAAAAATACATTAGGGAAATCTGGCTAAGCTCTGTTATCTCATGGAGAAACAGGACACTCTCCAAAAGACAAATCACTAAAGAAGAGTTTCTTTGCAGATTCTACGATGACATTCTTTAACTAGTGATGATAGCCCATATGACACTAAAATTAGCAGACCGCCTATTTACTTCAGAGCAAAACACAGAAGGCATTTTTTCCTTCCTGCCAGAGTCTGTGCGTCTCCTCATTTCCCCAGCAGCTGGCTGGAAGGATGTAAAATCAGAGGTGCAAGAAGGCTTATACTTCCTAATGAGTAATCCACCCAGCAAAGTAAACACAACAGACACCACCAGGTTGGTCTCTAAATGAGACTGTGGAGGGGATGCTTCCACTGTTGTTTACAATGTTCGCTAACTACTGCAGGCAGGAATCACACGGAGACACAAGCAGGAGACACCCTGAAGGTGGCTCGCACGCCTCGAGTTCGCCCAACTGCTGTATCTCTGGCTATAAATAAAAGCAAGACGCGTTTCTACCCGAACAAGGAAAGTGACCAGAGAATTCTAGGGACCAGGGATTATACCTGCTTGGCTAAATTACTTCGAATCCGCTAGAGATGACTACTCTAGGAGGTCCTCATCAGGGGCAATCTGGGTTGCGTCCAGCGCAGCATCAGCGACTCTCACGGGTCGCACGCATCTCAGAGAGCTGCGCCTCTCCGGCGGACAGGGAACACACAGCTAGGCTTCCTCACAACCCCACAGAGGGCCCCCTTGGCCTCCCAAACCAGATTTTCCAGTTAAACGAATCCCAGGCGATTTCCATGAACAAGCTCATTTCAAGTAGCATCAGCTCTTCCAGCCCCTAACAGTCTTCCTGCCATCCCCTGGGCACACACAGACACGCACACGCCGACCCCATTGTCAACTAACCGTGGTAGGCGATGTTGCTTCCCACTCCTACAAACACGCGCACCTATCCTGCAGGGCTCCTGGCATGCTCAGTCTGCAGCCTCCGACGTGGGAGCAGCGGTTGGGTCGCAGTGGCACCGACGCTCCGCTCCAGCCCAGAGACTTGCCCTCTCCCAAGAGAAGCTCGGGTGCCTCCCCTCCTACCTGTAACCCGCTGACCGAGGCCACCAATGCCCATCCCACCCCAGCGCTTCAGTCACACGGATTCATTTAACACCACCCGCCGCCCAGTCCTCACTACCAGCACAGCTCAGCCCCGGGCCACCCACGAAAGTGGCAGCTTTCTCCAGCCACAACAGCCTAACAAAGCCTGGGCATGTAGGTCTAAACCCAACTGCCGTGAAGGGGACAGAACAGGAGGGGTGCGGGGAGACAGCGCGGCTTCACGGTACGGAGGCGCGCGACATGGACAAGCTCTACCACCTTGGATGTTCCAAAGCAGGCTTCGAGGGAGGATAGCGCCAGGCTCACCATCCCGCATTCTCCATCACCCCAAAGCTTAGGTTCTCACCCGGTCCCTGTCCGTCTTCCAGCCCTCTCCCGCCTCAAGTGCGAAGAGCTCCAGCCCAGCGGAGAAAAGGCGCCCCCTCAGCTGCTTTCTGCCCCTACCAGAGGATGGCACTGGGGTGAGAGGGGAGGGAAAATTCCCCGGCTGGAAACCGTTCCTATTCCCAGCGTGTGCGACTGTGAATGCGTCGGATCTGCTCTCCCCTTCATCTCCCTCGGCCGCCAAATGGCCCAATAGCTGGGAAAACCTCGAACCCGTGCCAAACCCAAGCGCCCACCAGCCAGGAGGCTCCCGTCTCGCCCGGCATCACGATCAGATGAGTGTGTGAGAGAGGGCGAGTGTGTGAAGGCGAATCTGTGAGTGGAAGGGTGAGTGTGTGTGAACCCCGCACCCCCTCAGTAGCCCGCCCAGCGGATGCTGCCGCCTGCGCCCGGCCAGGGCGACCACTATTATGAAGAGTGCGAAGAATGAATTACCTTTCGTAACCGCCGGTCCCTGAGATTGTCCCATCAGTTGTTCAACAACCTGCAGCCGGGTGCAGTTTCCACAATCCAGCCCTTGAGCCCAGGGCAAAAAATAAGAGTGGCCCCAGCGAAGACACCCTCACCACACTCGGCAAAAATGATCATCAAAACGCAGAGAAGGTAGCAGGAGGGTGGAGACCCCAGGGTAGGAAACAACAGCAAAAAGTCTTCCCTTTCTTCTGCTATACAGCCATGGAGAAAGGGGACGGGGAGGGGGGGGGACACAAATGCTTGTCTTCCTTTCCGATTCCTAGCTTCACACGCCCCAAGGGGGCAAAAGCGGAGGAAAGAGAAAGGAGGGTTCAAATGTCTCTTCCAGTCCACAGTCGCACAACTTCGGAGTCAGGCTCAGTCACCAGCAGCAGCCCAGGGACCCAAGCAGTAGCTATTAACATGCGGCAGTCATAGCTGGGGCTGCTTCTTCTCTTGCTGTTGCTGCGCCGCCGCCGCTGCTTAAGAAAAGACGCTGCTGAGACCAAAAATCTTCCACCATCCCCCCAGCAGATCTTTATATCCAGTTCTCCCACCCCACCCCCCTTCTCTTTCTTTTTCTTCTTCTTCCTCGTCCTCCCCTTTCCGCCTCGGAGCGGGAGTGAGGGAATAGGTAGGGGGAGCCGCGAGGGCCAGGGGTGGCTTCTCCGCCAAACCCTCCTCCTCTTCCTCCTCCTCCTCCCCCCGAGGTTCTCTCCCAGTCCGGGGTCCTCGCTGGCGCCCGCAACCTGCGCCGAGAGCTCGAGCGACAGCCACGCAAACTCCTTCCCGGGTGCACGGCCGGGACACGCGGGCAGAGCGGGCTCCGGGCCGCCGAGGGCTGCGTCCCGGGGGCTGGCGAACCCCGAGCCCGGGAGGTGGCCGATTGGCTCTCCGGTCAGGCCGGGCAGCTGCGGGCATGTGGGAGCTTCATCGTGCGGCCCGGGCTCTGAGCCACCGCCGCCGCCGCCTCTCCGGTCCTTCTCTTCTTCGACTCCCCCAAAGCGAGTGAGGCTCTGGCGCTCTCCAGACACGCACACTCACACACGCGCGCACACACGAGCGAGCTCCTGCCAAAGCCAACCGTGCACCCCGCGCGCGCGCACGCCCGGAGGAAGAGGACCGAAGCAAAAAAGAAGAAAGGGGAGGGGGCGAGTCACAGGCGGCGGCAGCTGCGGGAGCACAGGCAACGCGCAGTCCACGATATGCCAGCAGCAGCGGCGGCGGCGGAGGCGCCCTCCCGGACCAGCCGCTGCATCTGCATCCCCGCTCCTGGGAACTGGAGCGAGAGGTGCCGGGAGAGCAGGCGGAGGGGCGGTGCGCCGAGAGCCGGTGGGAGCGCGGACGCGCGGGGGCCGTGCAGCTCGCACTCGGCAGAAGACGCAGCCGAAGCCAGAATGAGCCACTGGCCGGCGAGAGGCTAGAGCTCCGAAACCCAGGAGCGGGTCTCGAGCCCGGAACAGGGGTGGCCGGCAAAACCCGGATCTGGAGTCCGCCTGGGCTCCGCGGCGCGGGCTCCACCTAGCAGCTAGGCAGACGCTTGGAGGTGGGAACCACAAGGCTGCTAAGGGAGCTTCCCTTTCAGGGTTTGTCAAACAAAGGGTATCTCTCCCGTTTTCTCTCTCTCTCTCTCTCTCTCTCTCTCTCTCTCTCTCTCTCTCTCTCTCTCTCTCTCTCTCTCTCTCTCCTCTCCTCTTTCTCTCTCTCCCTCCTCTCCCTCTCTCCCCACCTACCTCCTTTTCTCCCCTCCCTCTCTACTCTTTTCTTTCTCTGGGTGAATAGAGGATACCAGGTTGAGTCTTCTCAGTGACTCTTTCTTTCTCAGGTACACATTATTCCGTGCTTTTTTTTTTTCTACAAGTAAAAAAAGGAAAAAGCATTCCTTGCCTTTGGTAGATTTTATATGTCTTCAAACTTACCTCTGTGTGCAAGTTCACTGCAGAGTTTAAAGTATCCTTGTCTGATTGATAATGGGGATTCAATGATTTCATAACATCAATTAAAATTTCCATAATGGATATAGGAAAGTGCCAAAACCAACTCCATGCTTTTGTGATAGAGTGAAAAGATGCTGAAGTTAACTGTGTGACCTTGGTCAATTACTGAACCTCTTTGTGGCTTCTTTGTAAATGACATGGTTAAGTATAGGAACTTATAAGGTCTTTTCCTGCTCTATAGTTTCATGGCTAAGGTGTTTTTTTCTATGTCAGTGTATTGAACTTACTAAGATTTGTCCTATGTGTCTCATAAGCACATTCCACTCATAGTCAAATTCCCCAGGTTGTGTTTGGTTGTATACAGTCATGATGATCTAATGCCCTCTGAGAGTTCCTATGGAAGTAACGTCAACCCTAGCATATGCGAAGAACCTAAAACCTCATTGGAATTAGCAAACCATACCCATACACTTGTCCACAAGTGCCTTTCAAAATCTCATTCATTCTTCAAAACTACACTCTATTGCCAGATTGTTCAAGAAGCCCACAAGTTGAGAAAAAAAATCCAGATAGATCGATAATGGATAGATAGATGATTAGATGGATGAATAGATAGATAGATAGATTTCTTCCATTACATTCCCTATGATGGTTTGGTCCTTAAAAGTTCCCTGAAGGCCTGTGTTAAAGGCTTAGTCCCCAGGACTCTGACAGTATCAGGAGGTGGTGGAACCTTTAAAAGATGAGGCCTAGAGGAAGGACATTAGGTCATTTGGGTTGTACCTCTGAAAGAGATATTGGGACCCAGGCCCTTTCCCCTCTTTCTTTGCTTCCTGGCTACTATGAGGTGAGCAGCTTTGCTTCAACATGGAATTCTGCCACAATTTTCTGCCTTACCACAGATCTAAAAGTAACAGAGCCAACCCCCATGGACTAAACCTCTGAAATAATAAGCCAAATAAACTTTTCCAAGAATTTTTGTCACAGCCAGAGAAATCTGACTCACAAACTCCCATAATACTTTGATAGTATCTCTACAATAGCACTTATTTCATTCTGCTTTTCTTCTATTTTTAAATAATTAGTTGTTTATTCATATGCTTTCTCAAATTATAAAAACTTTCATTAATGCAAATTCTAAGTTTTAATACACTACATAAAGATAGATTACCTCACATCCACAGTACTTTGCTCACAGTAATTCCTTTTTTAAAAAATGGTGTGTGAGGAAAGAGACTTGCTGTATTGCTGAATTCTAACCAACTAGACATTCACAGGCTCAAGTTAGGCTCTGTGGATTTGCTTAATACAGAACTTCTAATGTAGGACTTCAGTACAAACTGACATCTGGACTCACTTGTAACTTAAACAAATAGTTTTAGAAGAATAGACTCTGGCAAAATGTGACAAGAGGCTCTTATTTGGAAAAGAGACAAAATAGAAACTACTTGATCCATCTCCCATATGTCTAATGGCCATGTTTAGAAAAGCAATGGAATAATATTTTGAAATGCATAGAATAAAAAGTGCTGTATAGATATTTAATGTTATTAGTGGCAGCAGCAGAAATGTAAATAACTAGTAGCTATAGATTAAGTTTTATAGTCAACCTTCCCACAACTTGAGAGGTCTGGAAGGATACAGAAAATGAAATTTCAAAACAAAAGTGATATACTTATCAAACCATGAAGCAAAGTGGAAACTAGGGTTAACAAATAATTGAAAGTGTTCACCAAAGAGGACTTCACCAGAAACAAGTAAAATTACAAAAATCCTAATGAAGTAGAGGAAAAAAGAAAAAGTTAAAAATAAGTGAATAAAAATAACTGATCTCTAAAGAAAAGCAATGAAGAGGATGGGTTGCTTATCCAATTTAATAAAATGTCAAGATAGTCAGTTTTACAACAGCTATCTATATATTAAGCTCAAACTTTGTGATTCCAAATCATTAATCTGGCAGGGATAGTCTTCTCTATCTGATCTAAGATATAAGTATCCCATTCCACTGCCGGCAAATCCATGGCTCTTGTCAATATGTTTCTAAAGTGAGCCTTCCACAAAAATAAAGTAAGTCCTATGCCCTCTTTTCCACATAATTATATTTAACACCCTCTCAGGGACACAACAGCATCACAGATGACATTTAAGCACAAACGTTATTATACAAAGTACCTCTGAGCTACTGTGAGTGGTTTTTGAAAAAGATTTTGCTGTTGATCTCCATGCCATTAAAATTGAGGAAAAAAATCAATATTTACCAATTGAAAATACCTCAAAAATGAAAAAAAAATCTGAATATCTAATCAAATATTTAAAAAAAATAAACATTTTACTGTTAAAATTCCCTGACCAGAGGACCCTTTTCAAATCAATAAGAAATACACTAAGAATTCCCAACAGCATGAAAGTTTGGGAAAAATATGAACAATCTATGCACAGAATAAAAACAAATAGTCAATAAATGTAAGGATGTAAGGACATATATTCTGCCCATAGAAATCTAATAAAGAACATATATATTCTATGATGATTCATGCCTAGCCCATGAAATTAGGTGAAGTAGCAACAGTGCCCTAATACTAAACTCTGTTAACAGAGTATTAAGACAGGCATACTGTGTTCTACTGAGGTACATTAGGAAAATTGCTGTAGGCCAGGCACAGCAGATCATGCCTATAATCCTAACTGCTCAGGAGGTAAGATCAGGAGCATCCAGCTTCAAGGCCATCTCAGTCAAAAATTTAGCTAGGCCACATCCCAGCCAATAAAACACTGGGCATGTTGTCATGTCTGTCATTCTAGCCGGCTGGGCATAAACAGGAGACTGTATTAGAAAAATGACAAAGCAACAGGGCTCTGGATATGGCTTATGTGTGTGATAGAGTGCCTGCCTAGCAAGCGAGAGGCCCTGAGTTCAAACCCCAGTGCTACAAAAAAAAAAAAAAAAGTAAAGAAAGAAAATTGCTTTGGAAGGAAAGCAGACAATATGAAGACTACCTGCTTACAGACTATATGCACCATTAGTCCAGTGGTTTGGTTTACAGATCTCTCTCCTACAGAAATAAGCAGAAACATGAACAAGGATTATATACAATTATACACATCTTAGTCTTAATTGTTTTATAAAAGGGGAGGGTATGTAAGATATATATATTCTCAGTAACTGGGGTTTTGTTCCATACTCAATAAAACCCTGTTATCTGATCATAATCTGAGTTGTTCAGTTAGTGAGGAAAAAAGCTGTTGAAAGCAAAAAATAAGTTATAAATGATGCATACATAT